GTAAATAGCAGTTCATCCAAAAAAGCTATAAAAACTGTGATATGGAAGATTATACTATAATACTCAGTTAGAATCAATAAAGAAATATCGTTGTCAGTTTCTGCATTAGATGGGTTAAGTGAGGTTTTCTAGTAACTGTTCACTCGACCGTGAAGTCGACTCCTCCTTCGATATGGAAAATGAAAGGGATGATGAATAACCACTCTGTAATTATTAGAAATGGCAAATGATATCCGTAAAACATCTAAATATCCTCCCGTAGGACTACAATGGCTTTTTTCATTGTCATCATTTGCATTTTGATTTTGATATTTGTTTACTTCTGTTAGGCCTACGGCTAATAGAGTAGACAGCGTATGTAAATTTGATCGTTTTACTTTCCGAACTAAGCTTTTATAAATTGTTGATGAGACTTAGTTGTACTTTTATAGACTTGCAGAGTTCTTCTCCCTACAACAAGTCACTTCATAGAAATTAAATAAAATTCCAGAAGAAGAAAAATATATAGTTTTGATTTAAGAATCCTGTAAAAAAAATGTCCATATGAAAAAGTGAGATATAGTACAAAATTCAACTCCAATTAATTGTTTTTTGTTTAATGTCTACAAACAAGTATTTCATGGCAATCTCCTGACTTGCGAGGGACTACAAGGGTCTTCTGATGTTTACGACAGGGATACACTCTGTATTTGCCAAACTAAATGACTCAAGTTTGAAAAAATATAGGCTGAAACAGTCCAGAAGACAACTTGTGCAGAAGACATAACCCTACAATATTTTCTCAACTTAAAAAAATAATCCAAGTAAAATAAGAAGCAGAAGCTAGGCTAGCTGATTTAAATTAATGAAAGATTTTTGTTCTCCAACATCTGAGTTCTCTTAAATGGCGTCTTAGTGACAATTCGTATATAACAAAACACATAGATTAAAGTAAAGATTTATTAACATATGGTTTATTTGTGAGTGCCTTAAGAAATAAAACATGTCCGAAACAAATGTAAACTTTAGTCAAAGTGCAGCTGTATATCAAAAAAATAAACAGCAATATATTTACATGATCCAAATAGCCTACTTTTAGGAAAATTTTGGTACCCAAAAGTTTTTTTAACAATGCACATGGCTGGATTTTTCTAGCATTCCTGTGGGTCTGATAAAATGTTTATTCCTAATAAGAAATATTCAAGATTATGGAAGAATTGAACAATGATCAACTAAACTCATATTACTATGATTACCAAGTAACTTGAATTTACAGTTAAAACTTCCTAAAATAGCATTAAAAGGAGCACTCCCAAATATCATTGAAAAACTCCTGAAAACCCATTTTAAATCCTGAACACTGAGTAAGTAACTGATTTTTATTAAAACTAACTAACATTAAAAAATTTACATATAACAAAAACTTTTTCTTACTGGGATTTAATTACTACACCATGCTGTAATCATTTTTTTATTGGAGTTTCTGTTTATGCATTTTCTCATTAATATAACAAAACATAGACTGAAATAAGTACTGCACAATTTTCTATTGTCATTTTCCAAAGTATTTATCAAGACAAAATAATTTAAATGACTATGCACAATTCCTTTTATAAATTGCAATAATTGCAAATTTGTCCAGGTGTTTATTGAACTAAATAGACAGGACTCCAGTCAGAAGTTAATAAAACTCAATTTCCTTTTGATCATAATTGAATAAAAAACTAAAAACGACCATTATATAACATGAACATTTTGACCCCAACCTTCCTCATAGATTCAAATAATAACAAGACTGTCACAAAGACATCATACAAAAACTTCACTGTTAATTTTCATTATACTCATTTTAAAAATTAGTTTTTGTTCACACCTAATTAACTGTCGGTAAAAAAAAATCACATGTAATTTTCTGTCCTTGCTTTATTAAGGTCCTTCTGGGTTATAAATAATACAGAGAAAATCTATTTTAATATCATAAAATTAGTCAATAATTTATTTCTTTATTATCCATTTCCTGCCCACTTTATAAGAGAAAAAATCCCTTATTTTTCAATTCCTCAATTTTACACCTGGTATGGTAATTTAAACCTGTGTGACCCCTCCATACCTGTAGAATACTAAGGTATCATTATTGTCAAATTAGGCCACTTTAGTGTCCTATGAGATGTGGTATAATAACACGTTCCTGTACATAACCACCCCTCCCCTCGTGTTTACACCTTGTTTCCATATTGTACGACAGATGGAACATCGCACCCTCATATCAAAAGTAATCAACGTCAAATTTGCCATCCTTCCAATAAATCTACGACCTGCGTCAGTCTTTCCTAATGAAAAGTCGTCTTAGATTTCAAGAAATAGAAAGAAAATTAAATGACTTTATGACATTTTTAAAAGCACATATCTCATTGTTTTCTTACAATTTTGTAATTTCTACCACTGTGTTATATGGATTTTTGTATTTTCTTATTATAACAAAATTCTTTTACCTAAACCAAATATTTCAGCATAATGCTTACTTATGTTTCTCTGGAACATAACTTTGTTAATTTCTGATTGTTTTGTTATCTTGCATGTAATCAGAAGAGATTATCATTCAAAGAACCAGGAAATATATACCAACAAAGGTCCGTCAACTTGAAAGAACAAAGGTTACTTTTAGAGAAGGAAACAAATTATTTCTTTGTAGGTAAAATGTATTATGTTTTTCTTATATTCTTGAAGCGACACATTTCAGATTCCATTAATTTCATATAGTATAGAAGTAAAGAACACTATATTTGACACAAGATTTTACAATTAAAAAAAACCCAAAAATCAAGTCCTTAAAAAAAATGTCTCTTAACTGCTTAGATAGGGAATAATAGTAAAAAAACCATGGCATCAATTATTCTCAAAATATTCACTTTTTGTGCCACCAAGAAAAAAATAAACTGTACATAATTCTACTTCTTTTACCAATTCATCTTGATATCAAAACAGGATGCAGGAATACATGTAGTTAGAAATTTGGCATCTGGAATAATCATAATTTTGTGAAGACACTCTCCAAGTTTGTGACTATGAGGAGGTGATGAGGTTAAGGAGTATTTCTATTATATTAATCCATCAATAAAGTATAACAATCACCTGATAACATTGATCTATGATCAGGACAGACTTGACAATTACTTTTATCAGGTGAAATCAACACTTCAGACCAAAAAATGCCCCCAAAACATTCGTTTTTCTTAATTATATTCCGACCATATGCCACCGATCACCTTAAGTTTTCTCCTTGGAAGAAACAAATGAAATGTGAGGTTTATTGCCTAATAGAGATGAATTAATTTGGGTTATTGTGTTTTTAGGAGTCAATAATTTTTGGTTCATATAATTTTATTACATCTGAAATAGACTTTGTTGTTTCTCTGTATGAAGCCGACATTATTTTAGTAAATTAAAAGTAAATGCATTGAAAGTAATAACTAATTAACATTGATGGTGATTGGAGAAAATAGAATGTTTAAAGCCCACTGATTCTTCAGTAAACATTATATTAATTATGAAATAATATGTGAAAAAATGATAGATCGTGTGGAAATGTTACTTTGATGTAAAACCTTGTGAAAGCAGCTACATACAGCGGTTATGTTTGATTACCGACAGTTTATTACAGAAATTTGGACAAAACAACGTTTGAATCAGAAACTTAGAGGAATGTTTGTATGACAAGTTAACTGGGTTAAAATAAAATACAACACAAATTTTCCTTATTAGTAATTATTTTGTTGAAAGAAGTTTTTGTTACTCTTTATTTCCTTAAAAAAAAATTTGTAGGTTAATCAGTGTAGAACTTCAGAAACAGCTAAAACTATTAAATACTATAAATATATGTCTAGATAATATACCTACTTACAAAAAATAAATAATGACAAAATCAACAATTATTGTTTAAATATGAATTTTAGGAGATGTGAGGTATAAATCAACGAGACAACAACCCAACAACGAAACATAGTTTATTTATATATAAAAACATTAGAAACAGATTGATTTTGTCAGAACTGATTTGAGTTGTAGTTTTTATGGGAAACCCCTTGTAACGTTACATCAGAACAAACAAAACAATGCCACAAATTGAATCTAATTACACTAATTATATCGACAGGAATATTTCAAATTTCCTACAAGGCCGGCTTCAATAGGAAATATAAAATTGATGAGTTAGAACTGGGTTTAACATTCAATACTCTTCAATTGGGTTATTGAACACAGAGACACATATAACTTATTTATGTTCTACGATTCATTGGGTACAATTAAAAGCATAACTCCCGAGTAGGAATAGAGATAAAATTTGTGTAAAAACAAAACAAAAATACTACTGATGGATTTTTTTCTCATTATCTTGAATGAAATTTATCTGGATAAAATTTCTTTAAATGGAAATCTAAAAATTCTGAATGATTCTAAAACATTTAAAATGTATTTGTATTAATAATTTATTTAATATAAAATTGTAGAATATAAAAGATAATTAATATTTCATTTTTTTCTTATTATTAAACGGAATAAGCACTAAAAAAAAAAATAAAATATATTCAAAAACTGAAATATTTAATACTTATAAAATAGGGAAAAAAGAACATATAACAACTCAAAAAAGATTTGTATTTTTAATTCTCTTATTATTTAGAGCACAGTTAACATCAAAGAAACATTTATTTGCAAATAATTGCTACAATAGTCATTTACCATACAAAGAATATTTGATAAAAAATCTATCAGTTAAATAAACCCTACAAAAAGTCAGTGTTTAAACTCTGTATGATAATTTTATCAGATTTAAAACAATATATGTTACATTTAAATTTATGTTTTTAACTAATTCAACCTGAAAAAATGCCAAAATGGCTTTTAAAAAATTGTTTGAAGGATTTAATAAGTGCATTCATATAATAAAAATATGAATAAGATGTCCAACTATTGCTGCAAATTGAAACCAAAAACGGCAAAAATAAAAGGAACTTTCCTACCTTTTTACAGTTCTCCTCCGACGCTTTGTTGCATACATAGTTTTTATGACCCAATCGTCAACCATTCAGGCGCTATTAGCTCATACACAATCACTTCACATCCGCTTAACAAAACAATAAACAAAACCAAACATCCCAAAAATATTGCACTTTAAAATCAGTATAACTTCCGTCTTTAAGTAATATTCATGATAATATTTGTCGTTTCGTTACTTATCGATGTAAAATAAAAACAAATCTTCGTTACTTTTCGTAACGGAACTGTCTGGTCATAAGAAGGCCGATTTTGGTCAATTTTAAACCTTACGGACAATCATTATATTAGTGTTATCGTTAAAATGCATACATTAACAGTTTTAAAATACAACAATCGGGGCAATGATTTTCTGACACTATGGACTTATTTTTCCATCCAATTCCATGTTAACTACCCTCTGCCACGCGACCTGTCACAGAACCAATTAATCCCACCCACTGACATTTATCCCGCCCCATTCATCAATCACTACCAATGAAAACAAGGGAAGCGTGAACTGTTCTTTTGACAAAGGTAAATGAACAGGTGAGTCCATCCTATATTATCTGATTAGAACCAATGTTCCAATTATCATCATCAAAAGATGACAAAAAAAATTCTAAACATTAATTTACAATGTGACAAATGATTTTCTTTGGATATCTGTCGCAATCTGGAAAAATTATGATTTTCTGATAAAGGTTTATGTCATTAATTCTCAAAATGTAGGAAAAGAAGATTTATGATAAAGTTAAGTAAGAGCACAAAAAATGAATTAAGAAAGACAAAAGAAAATATTAAATAGAAATATCTGAAATAAGCCTCTACATAATTACTGCTAATAAAATCTGTGTAAATATGAATAGTCAGACAATAGGATAAATACATTTTTCTTGAAATAAACATTTTTTGTAAGGGACAATTGTTCAATTCAAGGAAGTTTCTTATTTTTACTAATATTGAATTCCATAGAATATCAAAGTATCATGTGCTTTATCAGAATCATAGCTTTTCAAAAGTCCTTCATAAATGTTCATTGTGTTTTAAAAATGAGACTTTTCCAAGGTAATAAAAACTTTAATAAGTCATCAGAGATATAGAAATATGCATAAAAATAAAAAAAATAACTAACATTAGACCAAAAATAAATCTGATAGCATATTTTGTTTTCTTGGAGTGACTTACTATAAACAGAAGCATCTGAAAAAAACATAGTTCAGTTGATATTATAGCATCAAACAAATTGAATTGAAAAACCTTAGAAAAAGTAGGAATGTTTTTTTTAACATGTGCATAAAAATAAGAAGGAAATGGTATTTAAAAAAGTGTGATTTATCATACAATACATGATTGCCTAAGGGAATACATCTCTATACAAACTGAACTCCATCAAAGGTCAATTTTCTTACAAAATATTTTATTCCATCTTAGTCTTTAACACACAAGAACAGAAAAGGCTGAATCCATGGTACAGAATGCCTGAATCCACGGTACAGAATGTCTGAATCCACGGTACAGAATGTCTGAATCCGCCATACAGAACATTTTGAATTCCTCATACAGATAATTAAGTCTGTATCCACTGTTCAATATACTACCTAATTCAATGTACTACTTACCTCAAAATTATTTCCAAAAGCTCGGAGACCAAAACAGTTCTCCATTTCGAAGAAAACAAGACAAAACATCTAAAAGTACATCAAAGAAATATAAACCATTTAAATAGCACCTTCAATAGCTAATAACCTTTCTACTTTAAATTCCCCAACCCCTAAAACAGAAGTTGTATGATATCAGATCAATGAATACTGGTAAGTTCATGATAAAACATACCACATAGAAGTACTGTTTTAATGGACTAACTGTTCAGATTGAATGAGTCTTTTTAACTAACTTTTGTGCAAGTCCAGTTGATACTGTGGAATTTAAGTGTCAGAACAATAGGTCAGTAAACTCCAGATTTCAGGACTTTATCAACTGCTTCATTTTTTCATCTCTAATACATTGAACAGTTTAATTGGTAAAAATACAAACTAAAAGATACACTAATTTTCCAAAAATGAAATGAACTCAATACAGATTATGAATGTGAGAATCCTCGACAATTAACCATATTAACAACAGTTTGTATAATTTCTGTACCATAATTACCGTTACTTTTAACATTGTCAGTTTTCTTTAGGTCTTCTGATTCGGTAGCTTAACTCGTAACACTTCAAGTCATCAATTTCACAACAGGATCCATCATTAAACCGTTGTTCATTTAATTGTTGTCTCTTTGTGCTGTATTCTACAAATAATTATGGCATAATGGTTACAACATCTTAAACAGCATCAAGTTATGAAGACTGATTCAGTGATTTAAATAACTTATCTTTACTTACTGTTATCTTGTGATGAATGAAGAAGTCAAAAGGTTTACAGCCTGAGTACAGACCACCTTAACCTATTTAAATTCTTTAATAGTAGTTCTGACGAATGTTATTCATATAATGATATGGTACATTAATATCAGTATACAAATATATGAATAAAAGAAGATGTGGGTTCACATCAATAAGACAGCAACACAAAAACAAAATTACAAAAGACATATATGGTACGATTTTGCTCATTGTTGAAGGCAGTACAGTGACCTATAGTTGCCTTAATCCACTTCATGGACTCTGTTACATAGTTGTCTCATTGGCAATCATACCACATGTCCTTATTTCATATAAAGGGTAAAATCATCAATATACAGGTGTCTATACAGTACTACAAGCTTTACATTGTCCTTAGTCTATAAAAGTGGTGAATAAGTTTTAGATCTGTCATTACACCAAATTTTCCAAAACTCAAATACATTAAGATATGACTTAGGACAGCTAAGGATGAGGTTCCTAACTTGGATCAGGCACATGAAAAATGTGACAGGGTCAATTGTTCTTTATCCAGATCATAAAAAAACTGATTTAACCCTTTCCTAAACAATGACGCTTTTATAAAGCCTCCCCCTTTAACATTAATAACGGATACCCTGTACTCTGTAATGACATATTTGTATCAGACTTTATCATATTTGTATCTGATATAAAAAAATATATACTTGGGAATATCTTACATGATTTTCCTTAATGAGATAATTAATTGCACCGTGCATTATTATCTTAATCCTGATTTATTTTTTAATCACTGTTAATACATTTTTCAAAGTTTTTATGTCTTTAAAGTAAGAGAATTTCCAACATTTATTGAAATATTGAAGTATCTTATCAATTTGAGAGCAACCTAACGTACAATACAACTAAAACATATTTGAATGTTAAATATTCAACATAGGGTGTTAAAACAGGTAGACAGATGTATAATTATACAATATCTTAACTTCTAGATTGCTGTCTTGAAAAGTTGTGAATAAAATGAAACCATGAGAGACTGTAAAAGATCTGTTATTAATGTCAAATTATAATGTTAACATATTAATAAGAAATCTTTAACCATGAGGTCAATAATTAGGACTGATGATACATCTTATGTAGGTTGTTGTACTGTGCTATATATTAGTAGATTCCTGTAATCACTTTGTATGTTTTAGACAATTAAGTTAAAAACTAGAAATATTTCTTCAATGAAATCCACAAGTTCAGAAGCAATTGGCTGGGAAATATTTCAAATTGTTGTCCAATGATAAATCTAAGAAATTACCAAAAATCTTCACCTAAAAAGTAAAATAACAAAAATACCGAACTCCAAGGAAAATTCAAAACAGAAAGTCCCTTATCAAATGGCAAAATCAAAAGCTCAAACGAATGGAAAACAACTGTCATATTCCTAACTTCCCTGAACATGGGACACTTTCTAATCTTGTCAACCAAACAAGTTGTATGTAAGAACAACATATTTTCCCCTGTAATTTTGTGAAAAAGGAAATATGAATAACAGGATATTTGGGGGTAAACATTAATGAATTAGCTACCCAACAACAAAAGCTGATCAAAACAGACATAAAAACAGCAAACTAAAAACAAAAGTTGATCAAAAAGAGATCAAAATAAGATATCAATAAAAAGGGCAAAATAACAACAAAACTTGATCAAACATCAATGAAAACAGCAAATTTACAACAAAACAAGATAAAAATAGACATCAACAAAAACAGCAAAACAGCAACATGAAACTTGACAAAAATATAAAACAGCAAACTTACAACAAAACTTGATCAAAATAGACCAAAAATAAAACATTAAACTAAAAACAAAAGTTGATCATAATAGCGTCAACAAAAACAGCAAACTAACAACAAAAATTGATAAAAAAAGACATCAACAGAAACAGCATACTGGCTTAAACAATAGATTGATTGATTACTATTTGTTTAATGTCCAGCAGGAAATATTTCACACATATTCAGGATGAGTTCAACAACAGACAAAGTATGACAAGCTAAAAATTCTCCAAGTTTTTAAATATGTGTATTGTATAAAATAAAGGCAAATATCAGACACCAAATTTTAAACTGACAAATAAAGATAACAACAAGCTCTGATAAGATGATGATTACTGACAGACGTATGCCATCTTGCAACTTGTGGTGAGAACTCAACACTCACCCCTTTTCCATATCAACCAATGGAGGAACAAAAAGTAATGATTAAGAATACAAAACCCAAATCAAACCTGTAAAAGCTCTGACTTGTTTTAGTAATACAGATAAACAGACATAATAAATAATGATGGATTGGTATATAACATTCAGTGGCAAATATTACAGGTTTATCAAGATGGAGACGTCAATGTGATTTAAATATGAACCTTGTATTGTACTAGTCCTGTATGCTGAGCCTGATTTTGTCCATACTAATTCAGAAGATCACAGAAAGACATGTCCCCCTACATGGCTAGAATATTTTGACTCTAAGCCAACCAGTCTTTGCTCTAACTCCTAATTGGAGAAGCAGCAATTTTTAGTTGATACATAAAAAATAAAACAAGTCTTTGTAATGTGGAGCAAGGAATTTGTCTATAAGCTACATGTTACATTAAAAAATAAAGGACTAATTTAAATATATTTTTGAATAAGATTTTTTGTGGAGAGATTGATACAATTAAAGATATATTTGTAAATATTACAGAGATAGAATCAATATTTTTACAAAAAAATAGGTTCACAGTTTTTTCCAAAGATAATGAAAATTTCCTATATTAAGTATGAATGAATAATATTTTGGTACCCATCTTTTAAAATGTTATTTTCATGGAATTTTTTTTTTTCAAAAGCAAGATGAATTTTTGATGGATATTGTCCGTAAAAAAAATCCAACAATTTCTTAAAAATATAACATATGATATTAATTCATTGGCCTGCTGGTAATCACCTTTTCTATTCTAGATGAATTAACTATATAAAATACTAACACCTTAAC